GAGAGAGGATTTGGAGAATTAATTGATAGAAGGACAAACTTCTTATGTCCTTTTTATTAATGGATGGAATGCAAAACCACATTACCTTAGGAAATAGCCAGTGCTTAAATTCAAATCTTTGAGCTTCAGAATAAAGTACATATTAAAAATGATGAAGTTCAAGTATGTAGTTGTGTCAGGATGTGCAGCCTGCAAAGGAACAGGTAAAGGTTTATTCCATGCTGAAAAAAACAAGAGACTCAATATTGGCTCCACAGTCAAAATGTTGTTTCTCTTTTCTTTTCAGCATGGAATAAATTTAAAGTAGCTACCTACTAGAACTTCTTCAACCCATTTCTGCTGTGACCCACTATGCTTTCCACTAAATCTTTTTCTTGATCTCTTCATCATTCCTCCTCCCTGGGCTACATGCCCCCTTCTCTCACCAAACCAGCATTCCATCTCTTCACAACGATCTGTTCCAAGACCAGGCTTTCTAACCACCTCCTATTCCTACACAGCCAAAATGCTGTGTCTCTTTTCTTTTAAGCATGGAATATATCTTTACCTGTTCCTCAAAAATGATTAAATAATTAGATTTGGTCAGTTATTTCTCAGTTTAGCTATACATACTGGGTTACAAGGGTTCTAGTTCTGTTTTCGGAAAAAAAAATCTTCTTCACTAAAGGGAATGCTTAAAAATCAAGCCACCTTTTAGTCTTGCTTTTAAAAAGTAGAATCTTATCATTAATTTTAGCTGTAATCTCCAGATATATAATACCTGCATTTAGAGCCATATGGGGCTGTGTGGTGGCTCTGTGGCTAAGGATCTGTGCCTGTGGCTGGAAGGTTGCCGGTTCGTATTCCACCGAATCCTACTCCGTTGGGCCCCTGAGTTAGGCCATAAACCCCAACTGCTCCAGGGGTGTCCTATAAATGGCTGACCCTGTGCTCTCACCCCAAGCTTCTCTCCCTGTCTGTGTGTCTCATGGAGAGCAAGTTGGGGTATGCAAAAAGACAAATTCCTAATACAAGAAATTGTATATGGCCAATTAAGTGATCTTGTTCCCCTACCAAACATTATTTGTAGCAATTTCAATCAATCTTTATGTTTACACAGAATCCTGTAATGCATAGAATTAGTAAACCAGTGCAAATGTTATCATTGCATTTTTAATTTTAAAAAAATATTCATTTGATTATACTGTCTTGAAGACCTATTATGTTTAAACATGAACAAGACTTGTGTCTGATTTTGGGAAATCAAAGAAATTAATGTCCTCTAAAGGACAAATTCTGAACAACTACATACAAGATCCGTTTTGTTGTTGCTGAAACACATCTGATGTTATGAAGGATAATAATAATTCTAAAACTGTATTTAAACCTTAAAGTATAAAAAAATAAGTAAATAGAAAAAAAATTAAAGATGTGCCAGAGACAGGTGGCAGTGGGCCACCTCAATTCCTGAGGTGCTATCTGCATGTTCTCCCCATGATTGCATGTTTTTCCTCCAACAATCCACACATAAGTAGGTTAATTAGCTTGTGTAACATTATCCCTGGTGCGAATGTGTGCATGTCTGTGTCTGCCCTGTGTAGGACTGGTGTCCCGTGGTGTACCAGGGTGTACCGTGTCCATTGCTTGCCAGGACAGGATTCAGCTCCCCCATGACCCTGTACTGGATAAAATAGATGGTTGTCTCAGAGATCCAAAAAGATATCATCATTCTCATGTGGCAGTTTCCTCATTAGGATAATTACACTTGGCCAATGATTCAGACATTCAGACTGTAAAAAACGTTCCAACTGTGCATTTTAACCCTGCTCAAATCCCTACGCTTCATAACTTTTATTTGTGATGACACAGGTCAAAATCCATGACATGGCTAACCTACTGAGCAGTGTCACAGCTGCTCAATAGTGTCACACAAGATTTTGAAACTGCCAGCACAGATTCATTTATACAGCGATATATTCATTGTTGTAAAATGATTTAATGCTTTAAAATGTCTCAAGGTCATTATAAAACACTAAACGCATTTTTAAATATGTGAATCCTAAGAGGTCCTCTTTGACATGAATAGGCTGAAACAAAAAATTAGATTTTGATCAGATTATAAATTAGTAAACAGAGAGTTAAACAGAAATGTAATAATTATAGCATATGTATGAAACATGAATATTCATACATGTGAAGAAATGTATATGGGATGCTCCTACCAGTGGAGAAAAAGGTACTAATAGAAAGTAAATTGAAACATGTAATATCATCTGAAAGTGGCCTAATGTTACAGCAATACTGATGCAACAAAGAAAACAATTGTTTCAATGCAACATGAAATTTCCATGGAAACTGTAAATATTTTTTTTAAAATAGCTAGCAACCACTACTGGTTAAAACCCTAGGGATCCAATTTTCTCTGCAATTCAGAGTCTTGGCTATTTCTGATTAAACCAAAGCACTGATATGTGGAAGTCTGCTGGTTAGCACTTTTACATTTTTTATAAGGCTTTTCATCTTAAATCGAAGTTTTCATATCAAAACACTTCACCTACAATGCTGAAAGAACTGCTGTGCACATTCTTTCATAGACTGATCCTCTTTCTTGACAGTTAACCAGCAAATGACCTTTGCACAATTATACAGTGTATATTTACTATTAAATTATCTTAAGAATCAATTTTTAATTATTATATATTCTAGCACCACATAGCTTACAAAGCAGTGACACATCAAATCTTCTAAACTTTCAGTGACTTGCATATTATTTTGAATACCAGTGAACTGGCTCCTCTCAACTCAAATCATCATTCACTCATTAGCTGTCCCTCTTGATCATGTATCGCTTTCCTCTGACCTTGAAAAATGATCCAATTGTGGTGAGCTTCAGCTTTGACACCTTTAGATCTGAAAAATGTTTTTCAGATATTCTCCCTTTCCTTCTGGTCTGGGCAAGAGCCATAATCTTCTTGGGAGTGTAATTCATGTGTGTTTGAAATTCCCTTTTCTGTCCTTCTCTGGTATGAGTTCCTACGTCAAAGTGGAAGATGAGACTCTTCTTTAGGAGCCTGGAGGTTACCACTCAGACAATATGACCACCCCAACAGAAAACAAGGCAGATGATCTTAGCTTCATTGTTTGTGGTGCGTGCTTTGATGGAAAAAAGCATCTATATCTGCCCTCCTTCTTGATCAATTGTCTGCAAATAGCATTGGCACTACAACTAGCTCCAGTCTTTTTAAGTGCTCTCCTGATATGTTTTCTGTTTCAGCCATGTACAGCAAGGTAGGAATTATGACTACACAAGTAGAGCTAACTTTGTAATTTTCATGTCACAATCCTCCAATAACCCATTCTTCAGGTAGGCAAAGGCTGCACTGGGAAATTTCAGGCAATGCTGGATTTCTTTGGAAAAATAAATTAATGGAGCATTTGTACTGGGAGCTCGCTCATGGAGACATTAACTTGGTATTTTGAATGTATTGCAAAACCAAATACTGTACATTCATAATAGTTTGGAGCTCCAATTATATCTAGAGACATACTGCTGCATCATCAGAACTCTGAAGTCAAAATAGTTTTGGACGTTAAAAAATGTACAATCCATTTCGTAGGTCCACACAAGTCTTTGTTCAAATGGAGTCAAACCCACCATTATTTGACTCATGATGAAATAATTCAGAAGCATTGTTTCAATCTGGATCTGTATTAACGGCATGGAGGTGTCAAGTTTAGTCTTGTCCAGAGGGATTAAAATGTAAAACAGAAAGTATCACAATACTTTAATAACTGCCTGGTTTAAAAAAGTGTGCCAGCAAATTAGACTTATGAACTCAAATTGAGTATCAATACCAGATGAGTCCTTGTTACAGATGGTAGAATTAGCCTATTAAATCAAAGTCAAAATACCCACAAACTTTGACTCTCTTTAGGTGTGCGGGAGTAAAAAAAATGAAAGTAAAGAACAAATCCTTGCAAACGACAATATGTATAATTTATATTTACTGTCTATTGTTCTTTTTAAGTTTTATTGCTAATTTCCTGATTAAAGTCATTATTGCCAATTTAAAATAATGTGAAAATGTCATCTTTAATAAGTACTGGCATGCTAACATTTCTAAAAATTAGAAAAACTTTTTTTGCTTTGCTTTTACTTTCAGCATGGGACTTGTTCCTTTGCAGCTTGTATGCTGACACAGGTCCACATTCTGACCTAATGAGTAATATGTTTGTTTAATGGGTATAACAGAGTAACAGTATTTAATGTGCAAAATGTCAATCATTTTTTGTACAATAAATGGGAGATTTGCAAACTTTATGATGCAAGAGTTCCTCCTTTAAAAGCCAACTACAAAAAAAATATACTTTTTGTCACTGATAATTTGAATTACATTAACATTGGCAAGCTGTGGCACAATTATATGTTCACATAACAAACTGTGAAATGCATCTAATGATCCTTAATTTTAGGTCTTACATAATGCTCCCCTAACGTCTCTCATTAACTTTTGGGTTTTTCCATTACACAACAAATAAAAGTCTGGGTGGGACATTGACAATTTCATGACATGTAAGACAAAATAAGGCTGAATTCATAAACCACTGATTGGAAAACACTTTGAAAACCCATGAAAATGTTAAGCATAAATTCTACCAGAACAGTGAACTGTATTTCAAATTTAATATTAAAAGGTCAGGGCCCATATACACCTTTTCTCTGAAAATCATAAGCTTTTGTGTAGTGTTTCAAATTTGATTACCACAGAGCACACCTTTTTACTGTTCACTACATTGTTACAAATACTCACAGCATAGTATGCTCAGAATTAAAGAGAAATGCTTGATATAATGTTATTAAATCAAATATGTGCATTTCCACATGATACCACTAGGAGGAGGCAAAGTTACTTTGTTTCAGTTGTTTACTATTCAAAATCATTTCTGTATACAAGATCACCTTAATTTAAAAACAATTCATAAAAGTATGTATCCATAAACCATAGGCCAATTAATAAACCTAATGTTATAAAACATTAAAAAAACAGCTCCATTTCTAATTGTGCTTGATCCCAGTCCACGACACCCAACTCTAACTGAAGGAAGGAATCCCCTGACCACTACCACTTAATGCTTACAGCAAAACACAACAAAAGGCAGAAACCCTCAGAAAGGGACATTTTTAAAGTAACTAATCAAACATAACCAGCATGCCTTTGGGAGGAAAGAGGTAGAGTAAGAAGTAGCTTCATGGTTTTTCACATTTCAAAACCAAGCACTAATCAAAATTTTAGCATACCATTTTTGCCCATACAAAAATGAACCATGACATACAGTATGATGCATTATTTATTAGAAACTTCATAAAACAGTAATTTTCAGATAGTAGAGGTATTTTCAGAGTTATGGAAATACACAGATTTAAAAAGACAAACAAGGAAAAGACAAAGGAATACATTTCACTTTCAAAGGATAGAAAAAAAACACAATCTTAATTGGATCAATACATACACAGCCTGTAAAGCATCTTTAAAAATAAGTTCTCAAAGAGAACATAAAGGCAGTATACATAGACAAATTTAAAAAGTTGGATTTAATCTGGTCTTAAACTGAAAGTTATTTTATTTCATTTTAAAACCATAGCCCAAATACTCAGGTTAAGAATTCAATACCACAAACAGAATCTTATACTTGCCCAACAAACAAAAAAAATCTTTTTTCAACCTTTCTTTGGAAGCTACTATGAATCAACCTTATTAAAATAGGCACAGTGATATGACTTTCAGTCTTTTCAGTGATATGAAAAGATTGAAAACAGTACAAAACTGGTTATTTTCCAGAACTTAATTTGTCAAAGAATATCGGGATTTCCCACTCACCAACAGACAACTTAAACTCTTGTTTCTAAAACTCTTATGGCCTGTTTAAAAATACAGAGCCACAGCTTTCGATTTCTTGTTCTTTTTCCTCTTTTGAAACCTCATTTTACAGACTCACAAAATAATGCTCTGCTTACTTATATACAGTACACAGTGCATAGTCCATAAACCCTGCACAGCCCACTACTACTATAAAGTGCAAATTATTGAAATGTAGCCTGTATCAGCAAGGCGTGTTTAACAGAAATGGTTATACAACTAACCAAGCTGCAGTTTCAGTTTTTGAAAGTAAATCTGTAGGCATTGCCGTTGGTTGTTTTACTCCATTTCCACTGATCTTTCTTCAGCAACAAAGCTCAAATCGCTACCAACCAAACATGTACTCCATTGCTTTGGAAACAAAACTCTCATCTTTCCTTGGGGTCTGCTTGTCAGAAACCACCTACAAAACAGTAATTGTTCAAGGATTAATGTATGAGTTTTGACAACAGCTTCAGTAACTTAACCTCCTAAGTGATCTACCATCTAATTTCTTTTATACATGTTTACTTTTTTCCTTACCTGGTAGTCACTGCTGGATGCCTTATAGGCAGCACTGAGGGGTCGCATAGATGTGGCTCGAGGTGTGTTTGGCAGCTGTGTTGGAGTCCCTATTGTTTTAACTGGAGGGGTAAACACAGAACTGGAGGATGAAGAGCCTTTATCAGAGCTCTCCATTACATTCTGAAAAAAAAATGCAATACAGTTACTTTCCACACTGCTACACAAAGCAAAACCGCATGAAGAGACTGACAAGAGACATCAGCCTTGGTTTCCTATACTTGATTATGAGACAAATTTTAAACAGGCACTTCATAATTCCCAATTATGATGATTAGTTAATGCTGCTTAGCTGAAAGAAAATCAACAGGTAGCGCACTCACCTTTTCTATGCAAGGCTTAACCCCAATCATGATGACATCTCCAAAGACTTTCCCATCTTTGCTGAGCGCTTTTCTAGCTTGGAGTTTTGATTGATACTGAATATGCATCCAATTGCCATTATTAGACATCTACAGACAGTAAAGAAAGGTCACGCCCCTTCAATATAATGCTTAAAGGAAATTGTTGATCCATAAAATAAAACTGAACAAAAATATATTACAAAAGACTTGATAAAATGTGAAAATCTACATGATGAAAATGTGAAAATTAAGAGGTGGGATTTATTTTTCCCCACATAACACATTTTAGTTATCAAAGGACTTCTGACAAAAAGCCCTACAGACTGGTGAAAGTATTGAAACTGTTTATTTTTAATATTTTGATATGAAATATATTTAAATATGTACAAGCTTCTCCTTAATGCATTTAGAAAGTAATTATTTTTTCATACAAAGAAAGAAACTCATAACCTTACCACGTGTTTCAATACGTTTCCATATTGGGCAAACTGCAAAAGTATATATGAAGCTGATGCTGGAGGAAACCTATTTAAAAGAATAAATTTAAGAATTAGTATTTCAGATATATTTTACAGTTTCAGACAAAACTTGACCCTACATACAAAACAATATTATTAACCAAATCTTTCAGAATATCACTTATTGAATTACAAAATATTACTTATTGAACTATAAAGATTCATTTTCAGTTTACTTAACAGAGATTCATACTATATTCATTCTATCGAGTAGTGCTCAAGTTTGATGAAATTTACAAAAAAATATGTAAAACATTTCTATGTTTATGTTTACTGTATGCAAATTATTTAGCAAGCATTAGAACAAAATGCTGAAAAAAATAATTTGAAAATGCTTATATTTTGTTACCTAGCATATTTTACACTAATAATTATGTGCAAGTCAACTTTTTTTTATGAGAGGCTGTGGTATGCTCATTCATAGCACTGTATTAGTCCTTTTGTTCATTCCTTCATCCTGAGTATGAGACATGAAATGCGCAACAAGGTGTTTGGAGACTTGAAAGACAAACAGGTTTGCAGGTTTCAATCAACCTAGAGCAATACCACAACTCGGAAACACAGGGAATGCTGCTAACAGAAACAATAACAAATAACAAAAACATAGAAATAACTACAGCTGCCAAAGGTAGAAGCAGAAACCTCACCACAACTTATATTATCTACAGGTTCTGCTGGTATCAAGGGCAGCACCTCTACAAAGATGGTATCATGATTCAAGGTCAATAGGTTGTACAACTGCAGTGTATCAATATAAGACAAGCAGCACTAAGATGTAGGCAAAGGGTGTTGGTTTGTGACTTTTTGCAGTTCTACCTTATCTTGCAATAGGTGGGTCTACATATATTGAAAATGTATATATCGCATTGTATGATTTATCCACTTGAGGTGGTGCAGGAAGCAGAGCTAACCTATGACTTGCCAGAATAAGAAAAGGGGTTCCTTGACCCACATAGCTATCAGAAGGAAGCTTTCATGGGTGTCAAAAACGTGGCTAGAGAAAGTCAGAGGTCAGGTTAGAGAAACTGATAAAATACCAGATATACAATGCCTTGCAAAAGTATTCAACCCCCTTGGACTTTTTCACATTTTATTGTGTTACAGCATGGAAACCTGATGTGTTTAACTGAGATTTTTTACCACTGATCAACACAGTACTCTATAATGTCAAAGAGAAAAAAAATCCAGACATTTTACTAAACTAAAAATAAAAAACAGAAAATAACTGAAAGCATAAGTATTCTCCCCCTTGCTTTGAAGCAGCTAAATTACCCATTAAGTAACCAACTCTCTTCTCCAAGTCACATAATTACTTGACTGGAGTCCACCTGTGTGCATTTGAGGTGTTTCACATGATTGCAGAATAAATACACCTGTGTCTGGCAGCTTCCTTTGAAATGCACTATGGGGGGGAAACACTACATCATGAAGACCAAGGAATGTTCCAAGCAGATCCGAGACGAGGTTCTTGAAAATGACCATTTAGGATATAAGGATATAAGAAAATTTTCAAGGCACTGAATATACCTTGAAGCACAGGGAAGTCCATCATTACAAAGGTGAGAAAATATGGAACAACTGTGAATCTGCCCAGAACTGTCCGCCCTCCAAAACTGAGTGTCCGGGCAAGAAGAGCCATAGTAAGGGAGGCCACCAAGAAGCCTACGGCAACTCTAAAGGAGTTACAGTCCTCCATGACAGAAATGGGAGAAACTATGTATTAGACAACAATAGCACGCACACTTCATATATCTCGGTTGTACGGAAGGGTTGCAAGAAGAAAGCCTTTGTTGGGAAAAAAAACTCATATTACATCTCGGCTGGAGTTTGCCCAATGGCATGTGAGAGACTCAACAATTTGGAGGAAGATTCTATGGTCTGATGAAACCAAAATTTAACTTTGTCTGGTGCGAACCTAACACAGCATATCACACTGAGAATACCACCATTTGGGGATGCTTCTCTGCGGCAGGGACCGGAAAACTCATAAAGATAGAAGGAAAAATGGATGGAGCTAAGTACAGAACCATCCTGGAAGAAAAGATGCTGTAATCTGCAAGAGCACTGGGACTTGGAAGACGATTCATCTTCCAAAAGGACAATGATCCAAAACATACAGCAAAAGCCACACTGGAGTGCCTTAAAACTAAAAAGGTTAATGTCCTGGAGTGGCAAAGTCAACGCCCAGAACTCAATCCAATTGAGAATCTATGGAATGACTTAAAAATTGGTAATCAAAAATGGTCACCTTCCAACTTGATGGAGCTTCAGCAGTTTTGCCAAGGAGAATGGGTAAGAATTCCAGTGTCAAGATGTGCAATGCTGATAGAGACTTACCGAAAGAAACTCACAGCTGTAATTGCTGCCAAAGGTGGTCCTACCAAGTATTAACTCTGGGATTGGGGAGGAATACTTATGCATTAAATTATTTTCTGTTTTTTATTTTTCATTAATGTAGTAAAATGTCTAGATTTTTTTTTCACCTTGACATTACGAAAAAGAAATTCCTAATCCAAGAAATTGTATATGGCTAATAAAGAGATCTTATCTTATAGAGTACCTTGTGTTGATGACTGGCGAAAATTTTGTTAAGTACATCATGGTTAAAATAAAATGTGAAAAGGTAACCCCAAGGGGGGTTAAACAACTTTCGCAAGGCACTGTAGGCCTCATACCTTTACGTACCTTAAGAAAGACAGGTTTAACAGGAATTTAGAAAGGTATATAAACCGCAGAAAATGTCTATTATGTCACTATTGTACTGCGGTTGATCCAAAATGTTGTAGCATTTTCAGGTTTGGAGTTAGTTTGCTGTGTAGTAATCACTACTAGTGATGCTTTGGGAGGCACGAGTCAGTTAAGGTGTTCTGCATCAGCTGCAATAATAAAACTGAAAGTAAGATTACTAGGTAAAATTTCTGAACTTCAAACTATTCACGTTTTTTAGTGGACCTGGTGATTACATACCTTTATATTATTGGTTAGAACTCAACTGTTGTACCCTTGAGCAAGTTACTTTATTCAAATTTCTCCAGTTAATGCCCTGCTCTATAAATAAGCAACTATATTACAAAATTGTGAAATAAAATTTATTCACTTGACTTATCTGGGAAAACAATAAAAAAGAAACCTACAGTATGTGTCCCCTCTTTAAGTAAAATACTAAACTAAAGGGATTTAATCTCGCACCTCTGTGAAATGAAGCATTTTAAATGTTCTTCTCAGAAACATGTTCACAAAAGGTGAAATGATACCACAGTAAACCTAGCTTTAGCCTGTCAGATATCTATCTGGAGTTAGAACTTTTGCAGTGTACAGTATGTGCAATGCAAACTTAAAAAATAGTATTTATATTTACCCAAAAACTGTGACCCAAGTTTCATCTAAATGGTCATCTGAAGAAAGTGCATCCCCCTGGGTATAGAAAGGATCAACTTGGGCTGGAGAGATGGCTGCCCTTCTCTGTTGGCCGAGAGGACTAAATACACTTGATGCTGTTAAAATTCAAACAAGTAGCTGTTTTAGTTCTGTTAGAACCGTGCGTTGCACTTTTCCTTTTCAGATATTACAAGACATATTAGTTGCCGATGGCAAGATAAAAATAGCTATACGTTTTTTGCCTTTACCACCAAATGAAATCTCAAAATGTCTCAAGAGGATGAAATTAAAATTCAACCCACGGTTTAAGCGGACTAGCGATTAGGTCAATTTATTTTGTACCCCCATCATATCATATTTGCAACATAATTTTAATAAACCAAAAGAGCTAGAGGCACAGATTTTTTGTTTAGATTAAAAAAAAAACACTCAGCCCATTAAGCCTTAAAATCAAAAGCACTGTTCCCCAATTTAAAGCACTGCATATGAGATGTTCATGTTATTAACTGATGTTAAAAAAAGATGTCTTGCAAAAGTACTTCAACCACATAATTCACCTGTTCCTGGGGAGGCAGCAGCCAAGGCAGATAATGGGGTCTGTAGCACTGAAAAAGAGGGCTGTGGACAGGAATGGCGATATTTTATTACAGGAAGATGATCAGATAATGTGATAAGAAAATAAATCAACAGTTCTAACTGCTTACTTGCTTCTGCAAACTCAGTGATGATGCCCCAATCCCTGGACATGTTAACTCATCATATATACTTCTAACTGGGGGTGCCCCACTCTTGTCCTTGGGTGTGGGGACAACTGGCTGAGGAGGTGAACCACCTGAGGGGAAAAAAAATTGAGAGAGGCATCTTGCACATGTGCAACACTGAGTTTTACTCTGTGACTATATTTAAATCTCTATTCCTCATCGTGCCGTAACCTTATCTTGTGGTCATTTCTTCTAGTATACCACAGTGTCTTCACATCTTGACTAGCACAGCCAAATACTTACACGGTAGTGAGAAAGGTTGCTCTTACTCCTTCAGAAATGGACATTTCCCCAAAATAAATGGTCTCCATAAATCCATTCTAAATTTTACAGCCCTTTCTCGGCACTTTAAATGTGATTTTACATGCACGTACCTCGATATGTTTTTTGGAACGGAGAACCCCCCCTAAACAATTGGTCAGTGGATTATTTGTTGCGTCCGTCACAGCCAGCAGACCTTCTGCACGAAGCAGACTGGTATAAATTCACACCTGTTACGCCATGTCCCGTAAAATCGTGGATTATGAAAATGAATACATAAACAGCTCACCCGTCATAAGAGGAGACCTCATTTCCATCCCACTGCCGACAGAGCTGCTGAAGGTGCGAGGCTGGGGAGTCACCGGCGCTGGCAGGTCGCCCATCAGAAACCCGGGCAGGAACTGTGCGCCCGAACTGGGCTTTGGGGAGGTTGGCGACCCCAGGGTCATTGGTTCTGTACCTGACAAAGTTAAGATAAATCCGTATATTTGCTTTTATCCGACTCACCTAGAGCTGCCCAAAACACCGTTTCATGGAGACTCTTCCTTGGAATAAAACAAGCCAATACCTCTAAACTTTTTTTGGAGTAGCTTTGAAGGCAATTTATTAACACAGTATAATAGCTCATATATATATATTGATGACAATAAACAAACACACAAATCTCGAATTAGTATTAGCAAAAATTCATATTGATTATAAAATGTATTAATACCCCTCACGCTATATCCCCTATGTTCAAAAAAAGCGATAAGTCTAGTGTTACTGCAGTTATAACTGTCAACTGGAACACGCCATAAATAGAACAATGTCTCAAAAACTATAAAAATAAAATCAGAATTAGATATTTTATCAATATTGCAGTCTTAACATGACTATTAATTAATTTAGGCCTGAATGAGATTAAGGGAATAACATGGAGCGGTAGATTTTAAAATATATGCATTCCTAACCTCCAAAAGTACAACACTAGAAAAAGACTGTACCCACCTTGAAATTCCATTACAGGCTACCCACAAAACAGTATATAAGGACAGCTGAAAAAGTAAAGCAAGCTGATTTTTCCAATCAAAATGTGCCTAATTTTAGGTTGAAATAGATTCAAATTTTCAAATAATGGCGGAAATCGTGCGCTTTCCAGCAATACCGAGGCATTCTGGGGGTGACGTCATATAAAAGCTGCGGGCAGACTCCTGTTTCATGTGAAGTCGGAAAGGAGTGGGATTTAAAGGGCACGTGTAAAAATTACAACATTATAGTGATTTCACATTTTTATGTATTTTTCGTTTGCATTAAACACATAAAAGATTCCGCTTAGATGCATTACCCTACTATGTATTTAACTTGAACTAACTGAACAAGTATGTATTTAACTTTAACTAATTATTCTAAGCAGAAAATTAAGTCATATTTACGAAAAGAAAATTCCTTATTCCAGAATCGCTGCATAATACATAACCTAAAACTAGCAGAACCACGATTAAAAAGACGCGTTCCTTTCTCTGGTTTTTGAGGTAGTTTCCCATTGGTTAGTGTAACAGGGTCTGTGGTTAACGTGGCACTCACACAACGTTTTAACGTCATCACGGTGGTACACTAAAGTTTCTCTTAGTGTCTGCAAATATACCGGTACCGAAATAACAGGATCTTTACCCGGATAGGCGAGGAGAAGTAATGTTTGCCTTATTATAATTGCCATGTGCTTTCCTTTGTAAGCTGCAGTCTGTATAAGCTTAGATGTTTATGTTATCAGAAAAAAACATTCATTGAAATTTTGGAAACGCTTTAGACTGACATTGGTGCGACGAAACAGGAGTCGGTAAGTTGTCTGTCTACCCATCCTTATATCTAAAGTGATGCACTTTTGTTAGCATATTATCACATAAGGTTAAAAGTGATGCAGATTTAAGAATAGGTATAAGTACTGTATAACCCCAGATTCAGAGCAAGTTTTAATTAAAACGAATAATAAATTTTGTACATGATCTAGCTAATCCTAATAATAACAGCATCAAGATTTTAATAGTTGCATATTTTAATGCTATCTGTTACTAGAAGATAAACACGTTTAATTGAACTGCTTTCATTCCTTGTTCATGTGAATTATAAACAACTGCAACTAGAAATTCCAGTTTGTGAACACAAAACAATTGATTTCTTTCATGTATGTAATTACCTGCTATACACATATTACTGTACATTTAAACCTGAGTTCAGGAGCAATCCTGGTATGATTTTTAGCTAGAATGTATGCCTCCCCATGGGTAAACCATTACAGTTTCCTGGATCTTACAAAGATAACCATCATACCTCATTATCTTCACCCAAGGTTACTTTTCGTTCATAAACCTTGTTACTGTAATAGATGGATTGAAAAAAAATGAACATTCCTGCTTTCATCACACACTGTAGATTATTTCCTGTATAGAAACATTGTGGTGCAGTTACGATGTGTCTTTTTCTAAGTGGAAAAGTGAAGTTTGTTTATTTGTACTTCAGTTTACTTTAGTACTTTGCAGTCTACAAAGACCATTAGTTCCTCATTGACCTCCTCTTCTGCAATAATTTATTCTTCATCAAATCTAAATTGAGGGCATTCATTTTTGGGTACAAATTGTGATTTAATTATTTCATTTAGAATTAACTCACTATGTGTTGTAAAAGGTATGAAATGCTGCCTATTTGGAAAATGTCCGGCACCTCCTGGCTATAAATCATACAATTCTCCCTAAAAATTGAGTTTTTTGTTTAGATTGTTTTCACACCATGGACTGCATCCAAAAACATTAACTTTTAAAATGCTATGCAGTACTGCCAAAATTGATCTAAAGTATAGATAAATGTCCTTTGACAGGATTTAATATCAAAAGGTGTGATGTAGCTCTGGATTTATAGAATCACTATAATGTACAATCATTGTTTGCATAATGTTTTCTCATTTTTTTCCAACATAGATATCTTTAAAACTGTTTGAAGCAAGCAGTTACTGGCACATAGCTGAGGATGAAGATATCGAATTCAGCTTGAGAGCAACTGTGTCTTGAAGGTTGATTGAGTCAGCGGGGAGCAGAACACAATGGAATCAGCACTACTTGCAGAACAAACCTGTTGTGTTTACAGAAGACAGTCAAGCAGAACATTTTTGTACTTTTTTGTTATAATATGTTTGGCTGCTGTTATTTCCTGCAATGATGATTATTATGAGCTACTTGGAGTGTCCAGAGAAGCAAGTAATAGAGAAATTCGACAGGCCTTTAAGAAGCTTGCACTAACAATGCATCCTGATAAAAACCCTGTAAGTAAATATCTCAAAGCATATACAAATTGTACATTGCATGAAATCATAGATATAAAATGGTATTTGTAACAAGGTGTCAAAACTTTGACTGTCCATGTTTTATTTAGAATGATCAGGATGCTCATGACAAGTTCCTGAAGATAAACAGAGCCTATGAAGTTTTGAAAGATGAAGATTTGCGGAAGAAATATGATAAATATGGAGAGAAAGGACTACAAGATAATCAGGAGGGTGGAAGATATGAAAGCTGGAACTATTACCGATATGACTTTGGTATGTCGGCCTAACAACGTCTCACTTTATGTGTGCTGTGTGTTGCTCGCCATCTACTGTATGCTGCGTACAGAAAAGTAAGGCTAATCCAGGATAAAATTGCCCAAGGTATTTATTTCCATAGAACTGAAATATTTTCCCCAGAGGAAAGTGATTTACCTTATTTAATTCAGGATTGAGTGCTTTCTGTGCACTGGGTTTTAAATTTTGGTAGTTCAGATCTCCTACTCATACGTCAATTTTAAGTGTAGAATCTTAAACAATTGGAAGGCTGAGCTAAAAGTATGTATCCATCTTACATGTGTTTGATAATTTCAAGGTAGAGATTTCTGAAAAGCCTAATTGAAAGTGGAGAATTAAAATATTAATTAATAATGATGTGTCATTTTAGTTTAGAGCTGACTATTGGAATGTTTTTTGATATATTGTTTTCACTTTTACAGGTATATATGATGATGATCTTGAGATCATCACATTGGACAGAGGGGACTTTGGTAAGCATTTTTTATCAGATACTATCAAATAATATAATAGTAAATCTGGCTGTCTGCCTAACATTTGCTGTTAACAGGATGATTTACAGGGGTATTTATTTTGTTATTCATTAGATGCGGCTGTGAACTCTGGAGAGCTGTGGTTTGTGAATTTCTACTTTCCACGCTGCTCACATTGTCATGACTTGGCACCAACAGTAAGAAAACTATTCTTGCACTACGTTTTGTTTTTCTAGAATATTTACAGACATCTTTTAAAATTATATTCCTGCTTTCTAGCTGTCAGTAATCCTGGATCTCTTTGTAAACCTTGAATGATGAGATAGGTACAGAATAAGATATATATTTTAAGTAGATCCTTTCTGGTGAATAAAATGTAATCCGTGAAATTGTTTTTTAGTTTTTGCTGTATTATGGATGTCTTGGTGTGGTAAGCCACACCTGTTGTAGTTTTGTTACAAAGTAGAGTAGCTGATAGCTAAAGGTGTCCTGAAAGGGTTTTAAAAACATTATGCTAGTATCACTGTAAAACCCTAAATATTTAGTTGTTTCTTAAAGAGATTATTATTACTTATTTCTCTTTCAATCTCTAAAAACTACAAAAACATACAAAAGCATCAGAACTACACATCGTATACTCTAGGTGGTCATAAAGGGAAATTAATTCTCTGAGATCAGTGCTTTGTAGGTACTGTAGATGAATTCAGAATCTAAAATGGAAATATGTGGTAACATATTTCTCTCTTTAAATTGATAAGCAAAGATAATAATTTTGTTACCCATAGTGCTGAATAAATATGAAATTAAAATGTGACATAAATTAATTGTCATTTCTTTCTTCTTTCTTGTCATCTCTTGTTTTAGTTCTGCTTGATTTTCATAGCTATACAAAGGTGTTTTTCCAATCTAAATAATATTTTTTACTCTTACTTTAGTGGAGAGAGTTTGCAAAGGAAATGGATGGTGTAATCAGAATTGGAGCAGTGAACTGCGGTGACAATAGGATGCTGTGTCGAAGTAAAGGCATCACCAGCTATCCAAGCCTGCACATATTTAAAGCTGGAATGGTATGTAGAATATAAGAACTAAAGTGGTAATAAGCCTTTTCATAATCTGTGTTTGAATGTAAACATGTCTGTTTTGGTATGTTTATGGAACACTTAAAATAAGAAATCCCCTTTTTGTTGTAGTACTTAGAAGGTATTAAGGTTGTGCTTATAAAGTATTAGTAGCAGTGTATTAGTTCCAGTAGCATATGCTGTTTTTTAATGCCTCTCAGTATATTACACAGACAGTTAAAGGGGAATGAACGCTATTCTTATATTTCAGGGTTAGAAAGAGTGCGTTTCAAACCACAATGAAAGTAAAATGTACACAGTAACGTGTATATTTCTGGTGACATGTTGCAGCCTTATTACTTGTTAGCAAACAGGCTTGTGGATACATTTCTTTGAATCCAAGAGAAAAATTGCTTTCAATTTTTGTTTTTTTCCGACATACAGTATACTACTTACTTATTAATTCTGCACTCAGATCATGTTGGAACATTTCGGCGGTAAAATGTCTGCTGCACAAAGTGTATTTAATTCGCTCATACAGTATATTACATTAGTCATTACGGTGACTATGAGCAGGAAGAGGCTGCATCACGTCGCAACTCTTGGGAACTCGAACGCAATGTGCACGAATTCCGCGACACAATGACGACTTACAATACGATTCGATTTTGTGCTTACTTCAAAATTTGTAAACTTTTTTTTCTATAATGTCAATGAATTTGTTTTATTACTGAGATTTAATAACCAGTCTGGGAAATTGGGACCTTTAAAGTTTGTGTGCCAAATATTTTTTGCATTATCATATCGTACCGCTTATTCAATTTGGGGCCACAGTGGCCCATAGCCTAACAAGGGAAGCATTGGGCTCACTAACACACACACACTCACACCAGGGACACTTCTTACAGAAGTCAGTTAAACTACCAGCATGTCTTTGGACTGTGAGAGGAAACCAGAGCACCTGGAGGAAAGAACATGCATATTCCACACAGATGGCACCCCAGGAATTGAACCAAGAGCCCCAGCGCTGTGAAGCAGAAATGCCTTACCACTGCACCACTGTTCCTGCCCAATATTATTTGCATTAAATGTAATAATATAAGTTTTTGTTAAACAATAAAAATATCTAAACATTTCTTTATATCTTAATTCCCTACAAAATATTTTTTTTCCTTCCCAACAGAATTCGGAAAAATACTACGGAGACCGATCAAAGGAGAGTTTACAGAATTTTGCTATGCAGTTTGTGAAAAGCAAAGTCACGGAACTGTGGTCAGGTAAGTGTGCTTTTTATTTATTGACATTTCTGTTATCTAGACTAGACAATGAGGGCATTAGCTTCTTTGTGTCTTACAGGCTTCTCATGAGCTTCAGTGTCTTACAGTTTTACAGTAAAAAAGTTTAAGGTTTAATTGTCTGTTACATGCAAATCCTTTTTTTGTGTTCATGTAGAGCAAGGGAAGCTAACTAGGAAAAGTATAGTTAAATGTGAGAAAAGGAGGCACTGTGCTTTCCTCAAAGAGTTGTGGGAGCCTGGAAAAAGGTACTGAGCCATGTTGAAGTAAATTCCAAAGGGTCTTTTGGTACAACTGTATGTGAGTCTCAGATCAGTTTGTGACTAAGTACCATATGCGGTAATGTAAAACAGAATTCTGTATTTTGCTCTTCATTCATTTGATAACAAACTAACTCAGCCATAGCCTGGATACAAAGTAAATTCAGATACAAAAAAAACAATTTTGTGTTATTTATTATTAGAAAAAGACCAAAGAAAACAACAACAATGTATTATTCTGTAAATAGTACTAAAGACTGATGTATCTAAAAATGATCAGCACAGAACTTCTTACCACTGTCTGAAGATCTTCCATTACAGTTTTTTGTACTTGCAATAAATGTTCTGATTTTTTTCTGCTCAGCTGAGCATAGTTGTTATGGTGATTACTCGGCAGTAGAAGCGAATTCCTTCACAGATGGCACTCTGCAGTAGCTTTGACTCTGTACTGAATGCCTAGATTTGCGATAGGAAATCAACCTTTTTAACCGTTTTAAGATTGTTTTTATAATATCGTCCCTAGGTAACATTTTTTAACATGAACAAAGTGCTTTTCCTGTTGAGCACCTTTTCATATTTGAAATTTAGGTACAGTGAAAGGAATGTGTGAGCATAATTAAATGTTTCCATCCCTGTGATATACAGTTGCTGGTTGCTACGTGTGATTGATTTACAGTGCAGATACTTCCTGTGGCAAACATATAAACTTATCTTGTCAGTTATTTTTGTATCGTGCTATATATAGATCTGCGTGAACAGGAAAACCATAAATGTTGCAGAAGGTGTTTAATGCATCATTTATCCCAATTAAAAGGCTTAAGTTTTTGAGAGAACTCTATCTGTAAAATGCATAGAATTATTATTTCACTGCATCTTTTTCAGGCAATTTCTTCAATGCTATTGAATCAGCATTTGCTTCAAGAATTGGATGGCTGATAACGTTTTGTGCAGAAACTGGAGGTAATGCTTAATGTGCCAGAACTCAAATGACTTAGAATTTTTGTTTGGAAAAACTGACATTTGTCATTGTCATAGTAACTAACCGGATTACTTTTGCATAGTGTGGTGTACTTTCTGCTTTTCTGTACAGAGTAGTTTCTTACATTGACAGACATTTCACAGATATTAGATAATGGGGATCAGTTCTGTACACAGGGGCTCTGCCTTCTGCTATGGCTCAGAATTCATGAAAGTGATAAAACACAGCACCCCCTCCCCCCAAAAGCAACCTTGGATTAAAGTAAATGACACCTCTAAATAAAAAATGATACACTGTGTCTAACTGAAAAAGTTCTTTTAATTTTTTTAAGGAAAAATTAAGTAAAACAATGAAGAAGGCCATGGTTTATTAGGCCTTTACAGTTAAAGTACTTGTACAGCAATATGTATACAAGTGCTATGTTGCTGTTCTTGGGAAAATGAAAAAGCATTGCAGTTTAATCATAGAAATGTGGAATTAATGTCTACTCTTATTGGAAATGGAGCAGTAGTATAAATATTAAGGATGTTATGCTGAGATTGGTTTGTATAGTGCAAGCTGCGTGTTATTGTAATTTAAACCATTTACTAATATTTTAAACAAAGAAGACTTTATTCTTTTAGGAAGTTGTGACAAAAATGTTTTTTTTTTCTTTTTTAATAGATTGTCTGTCATCTGAAACTCGACACAAGTTAGCAGGGATGTTGGTAAGCATTGTGAAATGTCATAAATTACTGGTCTAAAAATTATTTCCTGTAGATTAAGTATAACAAAATTTAAATGAGTGAAGTGCCATTTAATATTTTGTAGAATTTATGATACACTGTAAAGGATGTTTTTTTATAGCTACATAAATGTTGAAAATGAACACAAAATTATGGGTTCGCTAGCATCTATGCTGTGATGCTCAAGTCAATTCTACTTTTACTTCTAAAAGATAAGCACATGGTTTAGAAGCATATGCTTTTGTTATTCACCTTCTGAGTTAAAGGAGTTTCAATACTGTGTGTTGTGTACCTTTAAGAACTCCTGCATCCATTTTGTTAAGGTATGCATCTGAGCTTCTGCTAGTAAAACCTTTCACCTTGGAAGAGATTGGCCAAAGTGTGTTTTTCTCCTTTGTTCTCAGGATGGTTTGGTCAATTTAGGGTGGATGGACTGCTCAACACAAGCCCAGTTATGTGACAGTTTTGATATCAAATCCAGTACAACCACTTATTTCCCACCTGGAAGTTCCTTAAGAGACAAGGGGGGAGTCCTGGTAAGAGGTGCTTGCAAATCCAAAGATATATTTGGCATCCATGTTTTTAAAAGTGTAAAATAAATTCTGTCCATGGGAATTATGTACATGTGTTTGCTTTAATCTGTCTTTAACAATTCCAATTTAGTTTCTAAGTCTTTGTAAGTTCCTTTTTAAGAAACTATGTATGTGAAACTATCTATCAAGTAATAAAAGAGATTAAGAGTTTAATAAAGTTGTAAAATTCTCTTACAAGTGTATCGTAAATTTGACTTTGAAATTCATTGCTAACTTATTCTGGGAGTAGACAGAAACTGAGTTGCAATAATACTGGAAAACATTGCTTTTGCTCTGTGCTAGCAGCCAATAATTACTATATGAGCCACAAAGCAATCTCTTTGAAAATGCACTTATACAATATTAAAGAGTTTTCTGTAGTGGTTGTTCCTGCATTGTTCATCTCTTTCAGTTTCTTAAAAGTCTTGATGCTAAGGAAATCTACAATGAAGTTATGCAGCATTTACCAGATCTGGAGGTGCTTACCAAAGAAACCATCAAGGTAATTTTAAAATTACAGTGGAAACATTAGCCGTTTAATTTTGAATTGCCTTGAGTGTCAGAAAATCTTAATTGATTGTTTCTTAGGATAAATTGGCCCATCACCGTTGGCTTGTGAGTTTCACTTTTGGTGAGAACCAGTTGGGTTCACATGAGTACAAAAAGCTAAAGTCCCTTCTTAAAGAAGACCATATACAGGTAAGTCCTAAGTTAATAGTTGCATCTTGTTTTAGGTGAAAAGAATACATACTTTGTAGCATTTAAAGTTTTTGATGAGATGTGAAGGGTGTAGTAATTATTTCTTACTTTTGTCCTGCCTCTATGTGTGTTAAAATGGTTGTTTTGAATTAATGTTTGTTATTTTTGCAAATTATATCGGTTCTTGTATCTATTGGTTTTATTTCCAATCTCTGTCACACATGAAGTGTGTTTTAGAAAGTGTTAAACATAGGTAGAAATTATTTTTATTTATTTTCAGGTTGGAAAAATTGACTGTCTTTTGGAATTGGACCTCTGCAATTCTTTTTATATTCATAAGCCAAGTATAGCAGTCTTTAAGGGGTTTGGGATAAATGATTTTGAGATCCACCATGGTAAGAACCCTTTTAAAAAATAAATTGGTGATTAGAATTTTATTGTGAAATTGAAGTTCTTTCCAAAGTAGTAGGATTCTGTTCACCACATAAAACTTGTTTTTTAGGAAAGGATGTTTTGTACAACATTGTCGCCTTTGCGAAAGATAGTGTTCACGCATACGTCACAACCCTGAGACCTGAGAACTTCCCAAATAATGAAAAAGAACCGTGGCTTGTGGACTTCTTTGCACCAGTAAGTAATAAATAGAAAAGAGTACAGATAAGGAGTGAATGTTCAAGATGGGGTGATGTAGTTAGTGAAGTACCTCAGGAAAAATAAGTTTTCAATGAGGTAAACTCTCACATAGAAGAGGTTACTTATGAAAAAGACGTAAACAATGTATATAAGATGCATCAACATCTTAGATCAGGAATTGGCAGCCTTTGGCACAAAAGGCAAGTGCACATGAAAGTCTAATTAAAAAGCAAAGAAACTAAATTGAAATAAAAAAGCACAGAAATAAAGTTGAAAAAAAGCAGTCCAAATTGTGCTTTCTAAGGAAAGTCATTTGCTGTAGAAAGAGAAACGATCAATTGGTTCATTTACAGTACTTCAGGGCTTGAATCCCAGGAAAACTCTCAGTGTTTTGTGTGTAACTGATCTTTTTTTTTACATTTAAGTGGAGGGTCAAGTATTTTGGACAAAATGGCACTTTCCACTAAAGCAAAATTAAATTTTTGCTCGGTTCAGCCCTCTAGTAGCATTTGTTAAAGAGCTCAAACAGTTACAGTTGATCTTCTGAGAGCTTCAGGAATGAGGCGAACAAGGATATGTCAATCAAATGCCCCATAGCATCCAAGTTATGGAAACCATAGCAGTCTGTATTGACTTCGGTACCATAAGAAAGCCACAGGAAGTTGTGGCAGTAGTGTGTATCAATCATGAGGTCTGTGGACTTGTAACTGTATGTTTGCGGGTTTAAATTTTAGGTGAGACACCCCTGAGCAAATTCTTCACACAAATTTCTCCTGTAAAATATCCAGCTGTATAAATGGTCACAAATGGTGCTTTGGAAAAAAACATCAGTCAAATAAATCGGTAATGATAATTATTTAATTATTAATGAAAATTAAAAAAACACACAGTGTGTTGCAAAACATGTAAAGTCATTTACTGATAAGGAATACTGTATATAAAAGATGATTATTTGCATGGGTTTTTAGGGTCCCCCAGTTTCCTCCTACATTCCAAAGACATGCTGGCTACGTTACCTACGTTACGTATCTTTAGTTTGTCTTTGTGTACCCTACGCTTAATTGGCATCCTGTGTGGGTTGCATTAGCATAGTGCTTTGAGCCCTGTGCTTCTGGATTAGTCTCTGGGTTGCTGCAAACCTTAGCAGGAATAATCAGTTTTCTGTTAATGAAGGGTTGGATGACCTCCTAACTATGTAATTAGCCAAAAAGGTACCAGATATGAAATTTGTCGTAATCTGGCACAGTTGCATTCCTGAATATATCAGAAGTCAGGAGTTACAGACATAAACTTTATTCCTCCCATTATGGAATGAAGGCAAGAAAAACAGCTCAGCTTTGCTGCGAATCGCAGCCTCCCAACAGAGCATGCAGTGAATTAAATGTGAAGTCCTGAGATTCTGTAAGATGCAGGGCACAGCTTGTTGCATGGCCCATGTACACTTCTATAAAGTGTGAGTGTGAGATCGGCAATTTCTGCAATATGCTAAGTCATGTAGGGCACTAGTATGGATTACTATCTTTACTGTACCATCAATGTGATTTTATTTCAGAACTGAAAATGTTGTCACTGTTTCAAAAGTCTCAAAAGAGTTTCTTTTCTATAGTGGTGCCCCCCTTGTCGTGCTCTCCTGCCAGAGCTAAGGAAAGCGTCTAAGCAGCTGTTTGGACAGCTGAAGTTTGGAACACTCGACTGTACAGTTCATGATGGGATCTGCAGTATGGTGAGCATGATGCGAAGGCTAAAGATTAGGCTGCCTAATGGTTTGCTCACAGCCAACATGATCTCAAGTAGTCATACGAAAGAATTGTTGTTTTCCCCAGTTGCTTTTTCTTTTATGCATGGTTTGCGTCATGTAAATTAAGTGGCTGTGATGCATATCATTGAACATGTAGTGCACCAAGTCAGTACAATGTAGAATTAAAAAAGAGAGCAAAAGGGGCGGGTAAGGGAGACAAAGGAAACCAATCTTTTTCTCGGAGAGAAGTACAGTATATACAGTACATACAATCTGTGTATACATGATTTGTTATAGGGGATGTGAAAATAGAAAAGCAAGCCAACAATTTAATGGAATTAATTGAAATGTTCTTTACATCAACTGTCATTATTTGCTCAGTTTCTGTGATGGAATGGCATCCAGGTATTTAATAGATTGAAAGTAAACACACTGTTTACATCACTCTACTTAACCTATTCATTTTTAATCTGTTTTTTTTTTTTAGTATAATATTCAAGCCTATCCAACAACCGTAATATTCAACCAATCAAACATTCATGAATATGAAGGCCACCACTCTGCTGATGGAATTTTGGAATTTATTGAGGTATTGACTGTCCTAGAGATTCAACTTTAATCATTTGATTTCATGTATAGCTTACAGGTGTTGGTAGATTAAAGAATTTAATTTATTTTGGTTATCTTCATTATCTTAAATTGAAAAAAAATATATAATGTCTCATACATTTCATGAGTTATGCATATTGTTTCTGTTAAGAAAAAGAAACGTCTTGTGCATTAGCATATTTTCTCTAAAACCTGTGCTGATCTGAAGCTTTACCTTGATTATTTAGCACTTTTGAACATGGTTTCAACATTTTTAAATGGAACCCCTGAGCCTTTATAATGAATCCTTTGAATAATTTAGCAAATAGAAGATGTGGGACTGAACAAGAATATTGCCTTCCAGCACGTTTAGGTGTTGATTATTGAAATGACCATTTATTTTTCTCCAGGACCTTATCAATCCCTCAGTGGTCACGCTGTCTCCTGAAAGCTTTGAAGAGCTGGTGAAAAAGAGGAAGAGGAGTGAGACCTGGATGGTAGATTTCTATGCTCCATGGTGTGGTCCGTGCCAGGCACTGTTACCAGAGTGGAGAAGAATGGCTAGGGTAAGAGCAAAGTGCAGTGTGTTTGTCTCCCTTGCTATCATTACACTGACTTTGCCTGCACAGAGTTTGACCTTGTCCAGTCCTGTTTCAGCTTTTGAATGGCATGATCAGCGTGGGCAGTGTAGACTGCCAGAAGTACCACTCATTCTGCCATGGGGAAAATGTACGTGCTTATCCTGAAATCCGTCTGTTTCTTCAGAACTCAAATCGGAGAGATCAATATCAGTAAGTCCTTTTTTCTCTAATATTGATATTTTAGTTTAACATGAATTTAAAGCGTATCAGCACTGTCAGACCTAGACTTCAGCAATATTGTGATCTTGTCTGTTTTTCACAGAAGCTACAATGGTTGGCACAGAGATGCATATTCCCTCAGAACCTGGGCTTTAGGGTGAGTTATTTGTAACTGTATTTTTCAAAACAGCAGTTAAGATTAGACCTGTTAAAGGCAGTTTCTGGATTATTAATTTTGTGTTGAACATATTTTACTTCTTTATGTTTGCTTCAGGAAAAATAATATTAAGATAAGCTATCATGAGTGCAAAAATTGCCCGAGAGAACAAATCAAAACATAACATATGTAAATGCACGCATTACAGCATTCATACAGCAAAGAATGTACTTAACTGTTATACAAAATAAACGGGAGTGCTTAAATTACTACCTAATTTATCAAATATACAGTTCAAATATAACTGATCTTTTATTTTTAATAATAAGGGATTTAAATTGGTGGAGTAGGTTTTCATTGTGGTAGTAACCCCAATCTCACAGCCTTTGGCGGCACTTCCAAAAAACTCTAAAAAGCATGTAGAGTATTTGTGTACTCACCTGTGTGCCCAGGACTTGTGTAACATTTTCTCTTCCAAATCCTTTCTTTGCCAATCTCTTACAACTGTATCTCTTTGGGTTTATTATTGTCTTTTACAACTGTTTTTCCAGATCTCTCCCTAGAGCCTCCGTAGATCTAAGTCCTGAAGATTTTAAACAGAAAGTTCTGAATGGGAAGGATCACTGGGTTATTGATTTCTATGCCCCTTGGTGTGGTCCTTGCCAGAATTTTGCACCTGAATTTGAGATTCTTGCCAGAGTAAGAATAGTTTTTTTCCTTTGGTTTTACATAATTTATTTTATATTACATTAAGTTAGCATACTCTACTAATTTGCATTAGCGGTGGCTCTGTGGCTAAGGATCTGCACCTGTGGCTGGAAGGTTGCCAGTTCAAATCCTGCAGCTGGCAGAGGAATCCTACTCCGTTGGGCCCCTGAGCAAGGCCCTTAACCCCAACTGCTCCAGGGGCGCCGTACAATGGCAGACCCTGCCCTCTGACCCCAGGTTCTCTCCCTATCTGTGTGTCTGTGTGCCTCATGGAGAGCAAGCTGGGATATGCGAAAATAAAATTCCTAATGTAAGATTTGTAAAGGGTTAATAAAGTGATGTTATGTTATTATTACTGGGCTTCAGTCAGTCTACTATGGAACATTAGGATAAATAAAACAACTATCAGAGCTGTGCAGTAGAAAAAAAACTTATGAATGCATCCTTTCCAATCTCATACGTGTATTTATGCATAGTCTAACCTCACTTTTGTCCTCCTCCAGACTGTCAAAGGAAAAGTGAAAGCTGGTAAAGTGGATTGTCAAGCTTATGGTCAAACATGTCAGAGTGCAGGAATCAGAGCCTATCCCACTGTGAAGTTCTACCCTTTTCTGGGAAAGAAAAAGGTAAAAAAAATTATGAATTTGAAAAACTGACATTTGTAATTTTTTTTTAATTGCTTATAAAACTTTTTTTTTTAAATTCAATATGTAGTTCTGGTGGAATGGCCCTAGTATTATTTCTCCTGCTTTCATTATGCTTTCCAGCTCTAGTCTGTTATCTGATCATGTCTATCCTGTGAATAATTCCATTATGCTCTTTTAAAAATGTTAATAGAAAATTATTTCAGTAGTTCAGCTTTTTAATATAGTGAAAACATTTTTCTCCACAAGTTAAGCACAAAATGTCTTGTTTTCATTTAACAGCGAAATGCAGAGGGTGAATACATAAACAGTAGAGATGCAGGTGCCATAGCTGACCTTGTGAGCCAGCGATTGCAGCAGATATCTTCCCAGTTACAAGACAAATCCTCTTCTAAGATAAAGGTGAATGTAATGTATTGTTTAATATGTTTGAAATCTTACCTTTTAGAAGAAAATGTTCCAACCAGTAGGCATTAAAACTGACATTAAGTCAAAGCTGTCACAGTAATGAGGGCAAGAAGCAAATGAAAAGCATTAGTTATACCAAGGAGTGTTTTTATTACCTTGATACAAAACAGATTTGGCAGACCCTATGCATTTTTGCACGTTTATCCTCTTTGGTACTGTGCTTAAATTAAAATTGTTGAAATACTTATGCTCAATGTATTTTTTTGTTTCCTGACAAACAAATGAATGATACAATTGGTTAAATATATTAAGATTATTTTTAAAAAGATGAAAAGTTATTTAATAATTTAAGGAGTATGCTTACATTTTATACTTTTCCCCCAATTCTTTGCCAACATAATTGTCAAATTACTATCAAGGAACTGGGGGCGGGTTTAACAAGTGTTACTTGTTAAACCTAGTTGCACTGCTGAACACTAATGTGCACTAACATGTTTTAAGCATTTAGAGAAAAAAGGAACATTATAAAGATAATAGTACAGAAGAATTCTGATAAATGTCCAAAAGCTGGGTCTATATTTTTAATTGCAGTAAAAGTTTTATTAGACTCACAAGGACCTTGCAGCCTTTGTGTTGGTTTTAGCTCCTGTTACAGGGTAGATATTAGGTGGACAGGTCTGTCCTTCACAGACTAGCTCTATTCCAGTCCCATCATGAACTCTTCTCATGATTAATACTCTGCATCTGCTCTTCTTCTATTTTATATTTGTTTCACAGGATGAACTTTAATTTCGAAGAAGCCAGAGAGCATTTTGATCCAGAGGGGGAAAATAAGCATGCTGACCACACAGAGGAGAGTAAAAATGAAGAACGGATGGAAATTCTTGATTAAAAGATTCTTGAATAGAGTATGAGAGGTTGTGGGATGTTTACTACCTTTGCACTTCAGAGCAGGCATGATAACATGAAACTGTATGTGCTGTACCAGGTTTGACAAAAATATAGTACTGTAGTTGTAAGAAAATATTAAGGGGTTTTGCAGGCATTTAACCTGGGGTTAAACAGATGTCACTGCTGGTGAGCATGTAAACAACATGTATTTATTCAAAAGGCCTTTTAAAATACTGTGTTTGCTCTTCACTTATAGACACAACTGAGAATAGTGACATGGACTGAACAGAAAACAAATTAAGGAATTATGATTGAAATTGTTTGAGAATACAGATTTCAAATGCTTTCATTTTGTGATATGTCCTGTGGGTAAATACTGCTGCAGTGAGTTTGTTAGGACATTTAGGAAGAATGCACGTTATATAGTTTAGGGTATGTTGGCATCTTTTTCTATGAATTCTAAGTAATGTGATTTATGATTAATGTAATTTGTTTTAATAGTATTGAAGTTGTTAGACATTGTAACTGCATTCTTCTTTGGACATGACTTCATTATTAATTGTGGACTCTTGTACATACTGAACTTCTTTCAGCAAAGTATTTTTCCATTTGCTACAATGGCAAGTATTGTTGATTTGTACCTTTTGTACAAATCAGTTACTTTTGCAGTTAAAAGAAAGAACTATTATTAATCCATCATGAAACAAATTTGGAGACCCCTGGATGTGTGTATTTAAATAATCGCAATCATAAAGTGCATACAGTAGGTGATGTACAATGTATGTGTGTAGATCAGGATTGAAGATCAGAGTAGGGATAAGTAATAAACGTCTTCAAGAGGTGAGAAGATACATTCATTCTGTTCACCTTTAATGAAAACATACAAGGCCATCTTATCAGTTCCCCGCTATGTTTCAGTTCACCAATTACTCATTCACATCAGGTTTTTGAGCATGTTGAAAGCAAAATGGGTATTTTTCCTACGCTGTATGTAGGAATATATCTGGACTAAAATACATTTTGACACTCCATTATGGCTTTGTGTTGCAATATAATACTTTGTCCTTATGTTTGTTCATTACATACTGTATATTTAAGTAGAACACCCTACTCCATGAGACAGATGTCTGAAATGCTGCTACATCCCTCTGACTTACTACTTTTATTAAGCTGGGATTTACTGACATTTTTCTGTACATTTCTTGCTTGCCCATTCAGGTCATCAAGCATTACAACATGAGATTCGTTTTTTCTTTGAGGTGTTACTTTGTACAAAACATAATACTTAGCATAGTTGCTAAGATGTCCAAAGATCTTTGTTCTCCTTGTCACTTTTTTTCCATGATCTTCTGTAAATTAATAAAGTCCTGTTTTTTATGTCTCCCTTTCAGTTTTCCTTTGCCTGTGTTTAAAAAGATTTTCTGAATTATGTTACAGAATGTAAGAAGCCTTTTTTGGTGCTGACTGAAACACCAAAAGATGTCTGACTGAAAAAAAAGATTGCTCATACTTATTGTCCTGACCACTAAGTGGCAGCAAAGTGATGCAATACATACAGTACCTTGCAAACATATGCACCCCTTTCCAACAATTCCCATTTTGTTGAATTACAAATAAGATATACATGTTTTCATAAAGGAATTATTTTAAAACATGAAGACTCAAACAGGTTGCTTTTATGGGCAAATTTAAAATTCAAAACTGTATTTTGCCTCAACAACCCCTCAAAGACCGTTTACATGTCATGCTGATCACTAATCCCAAAGCCCACTTAATTTACATTTACATTTGCGCCCTGAAGTTTACCAACTGGACTATGGTGTTGTGCTTTTTCACCAGATATTGAAGTGGCCCTGACAATATTAATTTCAACAGAATGGAGAAATACCTAGTGTACTGTATAATCATAACTGCAATATTTTATTTAAAATGGTTAATAATGTGAAAGTATCTTTTGCCTAGAGGGCAATTAATAAGTTTTGATAAACTGGTATCCAGTGAAAACAGATTTTTAATTGCCTTTTTAGAGAGGTAAATTATTGTAACACTGAAAACCCAGATTATGACTCATATTGTACGTGTACAACCAAATTTGTTTATTGTAGAATGGCCCTAGCATCCTAACGCTGGTACAGCACAGAAATATGTACAAACGTTTCTGATGTTTAGAAATTCATTCTCATGAAAGAGAATTTAATCTAGGAAAAATGTGGTTGAGTTTTGCAATGGTAATTAATCTGACGAGATGTAAACTTGTGCGAAAATGTTTTGCTTTACCTCACAGGTCATGATAAGCATTTACTTAAAATGAAAGATTAATGATCCAACCTGTCTTTTACCATCCCCCTGCTAAAAGGATGCCCATATTATGAATTAGCTTTCATAATATTTTGACACAAAGAAAAATGATGATTTTAACTTCAAATGATTTGGTTTTTAAATACCTCTTTTGTTAAACTACCTGTATGGAACACTGCAGATTAAACAAAAATGGTAAATATTAAGCATGAGATGAAGCTGCTACACAAATTGTTGATAGCTATTGTATTTCAAAGAAAGAGAGGGCCAACAAAAAATAAGGAGGTTAAAAGGTGAGGATATTGCAAGATGTACCTATAAACCTTTGTTACAGTACACAACTGTTTTTTTAGTAATCCACAATGCAATTTTTAAAGCTGTGTGTGAGGATACAATAAGAGCTCCATTTCAGATGATCTATTTAGTGCAAGAAAATGCCATCTAACTGAAGTTAAATGCTTTCCATTTCTTCCTAGATTGATTTTGTTTAGACCTCATACTGAGTGTTACTGTATTTGGCACTGAGAGTACATACTGTAGGGATATGAGACACAGATGAAGGATGTCTTTGGCCTCCATCTCACATTTAATGTTCTACAGGCCAGGTGTAGAGCCAAGATATGATTGATGACCACGAAGTTCGCAAATGCAAGACAAGCATTTAGAGTCACTTCAAAAGACTTTGCATTCCCTCTGATATTATTATCCGTGATGTAACAAGTAGAGATCTGGATTAATTGTCTTGATTTCTAAGAATTTAGACATTTCTTTAAAAATTAATAGTCTGAAGAAATAAGGTCACCTTAATATTCTGTAGATGTCATTTTCAATTTTGTGTCTTTTTAAAAGTAGCACACTCAAGTAAATATTTAAAAAAGAAACCTCAAAAAACAATGTATACAGTATATGTAATTTTTTTTTCATAAAATACATCTGGTCCAAATTTTATTCTCGACAAAACAAAACACATAAAGCTTTCATCAGTATTAAATAATGGATTGCCAGGGGCAGAATTAGTAGTATGCTATGAGAATTTAACTCCATACAGTAATTTTAAGTTTATCCTTCTCAAACCAGTACTGTAAATGAAAAAGTAAAATAATTCCTTAAAAGCAAATACTTTAAAAAGCCACAAAGAATACTTTTTTCCATTAATATTCTATACTTCATTGACCATTTATAAGACCCTTTGTAAGTTTTGTTTTGATTCAAATTAAAAATTTTAGGCTGCTTTACTCTTTACAATCTGGAAAAGACAGTTTATGTGTTAGTCTGAGCTTTGGTGTCTAGTAGTAATGTCAGAGAAATCCATACTTATCTGTGTAAAAACATGAACTGCTGTCTCGAAATACTGCTTTATAGACTAAAAGCTTTGGTATAAGAATGAAATATTTCGGGCAGCATGGAGGCACAGTGGTCAGCGATTATGATGATGGACAGAAGCTGCTAAAACTTTCATTACCTTAGAAGAGTTTAGCTGAGCCATAACCAGATTTCTGCATTTTTAAAACTTTAAGAAGTATTATTAAGGTTTCTTCCAACAGTTATTTTAAACCTAACACAGTTTACTTAAACATAGCCATGGGACAGAAAGAAAAACCCACACAAGCTCACAAGTGACACAAATAAAAACGTTTACAATGGTCAATACAGTACTTGGAACAGCTTACTGAGAATCGTCATTTGAATCCAACACAATAGAGTCCTTGAGGAATCAATTAGGCCCTTTATAAGAATGACTAACACTAATTCAATGTCTTTAAAAAAAATCTCCTTCTGAGAGCAAATAGTTTCTACTTTTTCATAGCTGCGCCATGAACTGCACTACAACAATTTGAACAAATCACTGGAACATCTGTAAAGAAATAGAAGATAATGTTCTACCTCCTTTGTCTACGATGTACTTTCCAATTTCACTGTTTAAGATTTCTGTTTTTGTGGAATAGTCTTAATTTATGGTTCAAATGAGGCAAATTTGATATGCTGGTCTGAAGATATGCTGGCCTGCATCTTGAAATAAAGCTTTGAACTGTGCACTCTGGTGTGTTTATCAACACATGGTCAGTATGTACTGATTGTTATCACTTGCCGGCATGTGAATAATTATGATAATACGTCAAAAGGAGAAGCTGAAATAAATCTGCTTTGTTATTCAGTCTATAAAAAAGACATTCACATCTACTGTACACTCGCAGTGCTTTTCAAACGAACACTTCCACTGCCATAAAATCACATTTAGTTGAATTCTATGTACAGTACTGTATATTATTTTCTTCAAATTAACTTTTTGTTTAAAACTCTGAACAATGAATATGAAAGAGGCTGAATATCTTTTTTTGGAAGCACGTTTGTCAGAAATTACTGCTTTCAGTATTTTTCTGGTAGGTCTCTATCAGCTTTGCACAGCATGATGGAGAGAATCTTATGTATGGCTTACTTGGCACATTTGTAATTCATTGTTTGAAGATTCTCATCAATTACTAACATTTCTTAATTACAAGCTTAGTTTTCTCTCAACCAAGATAAGCTGTTTTAATAACATTTGAAAATTGTTAAATTAGCAGAAATAAATGTTGGAGGTTTAAGCACTAATTGTGACTATTGATGTTCATAAAATGCATACATTCCATGTCCTGATTATATTTAAAACTTTTACACTGCAGTGCATAGACCAATTTTATTATTTTTGTCTTTCAACAAAATGCCCATATGCAGTATCAAATTTATAATCTAAACATAGCATTTGAAAAATCAGAGGTTAGACTCATTAAACTAATCAATCATAATGCACTGTAATTAGACAGTTTGACCTTGAATGTTATTGTTGCCAATAAAAACTAAAACAAACTGTAGCTGATATGTCTGTCAAATGTGAGTGATTATTATATTTAAAAAGTAGCCAAGGGAAATAGTTAATTTTATACAGATGTAATTTCTGTTTGCTAGACTACAGATATGATATGGAACGTAGAACTTAATGGTGAAAAGAATTTTAACTTATTTTGAAACATACAAGTTAGAACTTTGAAAGCCTGTTTAAGAAAATCTTACAATATGTTACAATATTAGATCTTTTAAGATCAGTCAAGTCTTCATATTTCAAAACATATTTCAAAATTGGAATATTTTATAAATGTAAATAGGAATTTAGGGTGTAAAAATATAAATATTTTTATTTCTCTCTCAAGATCATTCACACAATATATACAAACTCACACATATAGTATTAAATGTTTAAATGCATCAAAATGTTTAAATTAGTTTAGTAAAGTCAGGTTTTGTCATTTAAAATAAACATACCAGTTAAATCCAAAATTCCTCACACCCTTGCATTTATCATTCTTAAAACATTTAAAAAAAAAGATCAGTACCATTGGGCTTTGCATTCATATTTAATAATAAATAATAATACTTTCTTACTTAGAGATTTTCCCTCCACTCAAAGCAAACCTTTTTGGGTAATGGGGACTCCCCTCCACCACCACCAGTGTGTAGCCCCCAGCTGGATAATGCAACAGCAGCCAAAGTGCTCACCACACACCAGCTCCCAGTGGGGAGAAGAACAGAGGAGTAATAATGCCAATTTGAAATGCCAGTTCATAGATAGGAAATTATTTGGAGGCCATGACTGGTAAAAAGCAGGGGAAACTTGACCAGAACACCAGGTTAACGCCTCTACCCTTTTCAAGAAACTCCCTGGGATTTTTAATGACCATGGAGAGTCAGGACATTCAGTTTAAATTGATATTTTTAATGAAATTCCAGTATTACAATTATGTATTTTCCTTTATCCATATCCTCCCCACCACAAGCTCCTATACTCTAACTTTTCACAGACTGTAACTCGAAATAGACTAGATTAAGTAAAATTGTGTCAGAGGTATGATGTATTAATGTTGTTTCTTCTCACTAGATGGCAGCAAAAAGCACTGATATTGTTAGGGAACAGATTATGAGGCCTAAAGATGCCTCATGAGGATTAGATAACAGTGACAACAGGGGTAGTAAGAAATGTGTGCTAGTGAACTCATGTGTAATTATGATGTGTGCACATGTAAATTTAACACTTGCTCACAGATTTTAATTA